CAATCAGCGCCGCCCATTGACACCCGCAAAGGAGGATTTACGATTGCGTTGCCGACCTTTTAGGGATTAGGGATTTGGAGATTTAGGGATTGAGGAGGGATTGGGGGCGGGGAAGGATTGGGCCTCCGGTAACCTCACTCACACGGCGAAAAACAACGCTGTGGTTGTTTCACGCCGGTCTTCTGTGAGGCCGTGGTATCACTCCGGTCGAGCCGACCCATTCGTGCCGAAGCATGGCTCTCCCACACTTTATTAAAATAATAACAATGTATTTTCCTACTCGTTCTTCTCCATACAAATCTACAATTTAGTACGAGCACCTAGCTTCACTGACGAACAGACTGAAAGACTACTATTCTATTTTGACATTTCAAAAATACTTATTTATGGTTTAGTTGGAATAAATTATTTTGACTTGACAAATTACAAAATAGTAAAGTCTAGAACATCGACACAATAAACCATGAATGTGTATATAATTATGTAACATGTGTATGACACGTATATCATGTCGATATTTAGACAATGTATTCATATCATAATAATCTACACAAGGAAGTGTATTCGTTCATGATAAATGTAAACATTTCAGATACGTGATTTGCGCATGAAGAATAATATCTAAGATAATTGCAGATAGTTTGTAGCACACAAGTGTGGGAGAGCCATGTATCGGCACGAATGGGTCGGCTTGACCGGAATGATACCACGGCCTCACAGAAAACCGGCGTGAAATAACCACTGCGTTGTGTTTCGCCGTGTGAGTGAGGTTACCGGAGGCCCAATCCTTCTTCTTTCCCAATCCCTCCTCAATCCCTAAATCTCCAAATCCCTAATCCCTAAAAGGTCGGCAACGCACTCGTAACTCCTCCGTTGCGAGTGTCCATGGGCGGCGCTGATTGCTTACTGTAGCGGCACTATCACGTCGCTACATTACTTAGATACGATAGAGATAAGACATACATGTTAATTGTTGCACGTTTGTTAGGATAGCTAAATCTGAAAATCTCACGCATCTTCTTAGTATATAAGCACCAGCAATTAAAGTAATAAACAGACCTTAACCATCTACAGTCTCATTATTTACCTTGCCACGAAGTCTGGCAAATTGGTGACCCGACGAAGAACAATCAACATGACTCATTCACCCTGCAAATCAAGCAGCAGCCAACAAGAAGCCTTGGAGATATCAGCCGGAATTTTGGAGGGACCAACCCAGATTATGGTTTAAGCAACTAGAAGCCATAGTAGCACCACAGAAGCAAGGAGACGATTACAAGTACTATACGGTCATTGCAAAACTGCCAAAAGAAGAAATAATACAGGTTAGTGACCTCATTACTTGCCCACCGCCAATAGAAAAGTACAAGGCTATCAAAGAACGCCTAATCAGTTGCTATGAGGAATCAGACCAACGTCAGCTCCAAAAATTATTGTCTGAAATGGATCTCGGCGACCAGAAACCATCACATCTTCTGCGCAAGATGCGGACCCTGAGTAACGGAAATATCAGCGACGAAACCATCAAACTTCTATCACCACCACCTATCTTCTGCCACCATCAGTGACTTCGGTTCTAGCAGTCACAGAAGACATAGATGTGAACAAGATGAGCCAGATCGCGGACAAGATATTAATAAATTCAACACGTACAGAGGTGTCAGCTGTAAACGGAAACAAATCTGGCGACGATACAATGTCATGCATACTAGCACAGTTAGCAGAAATGCAATTGGAACTAAATGCAATTCAGCAAGGTCAAAAAAACTATCGACGCAGCACTCAAAGTTATTCCAATCGTCGGCATTTCCTACCACAGTCGAGTTCAAGAGAAAGAAGGCACTTTTGTTTTTACCATGGAAGATTTAAAAAATATGCACAAAAGTGTGTTCAACCTTGTGATTGGAAACAGGATCTCAACTCAAGGAAACAGGGAAACTAATTGAAGCACGGACAACGGCGGAACTCTGTGCTATTCACCCGTCCAACCGCCTCACTATTACCGACCGAAAAAGTGGTATGAGATTTTTGATTGACACGGGAGCAAATATTTCAGTTATTAGCAAGCCACAGAGACATTCACTAATACAAGATGAACAATGTATACTTTATGCCGCCAATGGTACAAAAATTAAGACATATGGTGAAAAAACACTCTCTTTAAACTTCGGGCTACGAAGAAACTTTGTATGGAACTTTGTCATCGCCGATGTAACACAACCGATTATTGGAGCAGATTTTTTAGAGCATTATAAGCTATTAGTCGATATAGCTGGTCGAAAACTCATAGATAGGGTAACTGAGCTGACAACGCCCGCAACCCTGATCAAATCGACGCAGCAAACAATCCGCACTATTAACATTGAGACGAATCCACGCATTACTCAACTATTAAATGAATACGAGGATATTACGAAACCAGCCTCCCTCCACACTACTCCAAAACACAAGATTAAGCATCATATTATCACTAAAGGACCACCGGTATCAGCACAAATGCAGTGGATAGTTCATCGACTGCCGCCGCCGTCACAACAAAGGCAGCAGTTTTTATTTCCTTCGAATTAGCAACAATGACATTACATTACGCATAGGATGTAATTTATCAGCAAGGTTAAGTTATTATATAATTAGGTACATACTAATTTTTTTCAATTTATATGTTAATTATTTTTAAAAGGGGGGAGTATATGTAGCGGCACTATCACGTCGCTACATTACTTAGATACGATAGAGATAAGACATACATGTTAATTGTTGCACGTTTGTTAGGATAGCTAAATCTGAAAATCTCACGCATCTTCTTAGTATATAAGCACCAGCAATTAAAGTAATAAACAGACCTTAACCATCTACAGTCTCATTATTTACCTTGCCACGAAGTCTGGCAAACTTACCATCAGGTAATCCGTCAGCTCGTTTGCCGAGCTATTACATAAAAAAAAACACAGAAGTTTCGTACATCGGATCGCCACGAGTGATCACAACTTGGGTCTAAGAATGACATTGATTTGACCATGAAATTGACCTTTATTCGCCAACCGTCACGGCCAACTTGGAGATGGGACACTAGAGCATATTATTAGTTAGAGTTCCCTTCATCTTTCCCAGGCAAGGAAACTTCCACATAATTTTCCACTTTACGTTATAAAAAGACCCAAGTCCATGCCCATTTAGGTGTGGTAAAGCCAAGCCTAGGTAGAAATATATAACCTTAGTCTTAGTCAACAAAAATAAGTAACATAGCCGATAAGAGCTTCCTCTCTCCTATCCCACTTACTTTGCTGTGCCCGACAGGGTCCATGTGAACTATTTATAAGTACTACCACCTAAGAATACATGTGGAAAGCAATAAAGTATTGAGTATTGAGTATTGAGTATTAAAATGGACCGGAATAACAACACGGCCTTACATAAAACTGGCGTAAAACTATGCATGCGTTATGTTTAGCCATATGAGTGATGTCCCCATAATTACCCAATTCTCAAACCGCTACCCCTAAACAGGCCAGCAACCCACCAGTAACTGGTCAGGTGTTCAGGGTTTCGATGGGTGGCGTACACTGGTTGCTATTAGGTTCATATGCTTGTTAGCCACTTTGTGCCAAAACAAACAAAGTTTTGGAACTACCTATAAGTTCCTTATCGCGCACTGCGAAAAAATTATGACGATCAATTGTAACAACACTTTTTGCCATCTGCCTTTCTCTTTCTCTCTCCCTCTCTCTCTCTCTCCTTAGGTAAAGTTTCGTTTCGTCTTTGGTGTCGCTTCGATTACTTTCGTTGAGTGTATAAGTAGACTTTTTTTTAATTTGTATGTCTTTATTTTGTCAATCGGCTTCATTGCACTGACGTCACTTCGCACGTTTCTACCTGATGAACTCAGCGTCATGTGAAACAGTTGATAAATCATTTATTATCTCATTGCTGACGTCAAAACATAAACGTAGCGTAACATAAGACCTGCTTGGTTTATTAAGGGTTAAACGAATTCCTTTCTATACTGATATTATAAAGAGGTACTTAAACTTACTAAAATTGTTAATAGGGGGTTATATTTGGAACTACTGGTCGGATTTCGACAATTCTTTCACCCGAAACTCCACTGTTTCTGAGTGATAGAGGCTATAAAACATCACCCTACAATCATTAAGAGCAGCAGGTAAAACTGCGCGAAAGTAGCTAGTATTCTATGAATAAATGAAGAGACGGAAGAGTTTCCCAAAAGATAGCCATGGGATGTCCCAAATGAGTGGTAACGTTTTCGACTTAGCGACAGACAAAATTCATATTTAAAAAATAATAAACTTTATTAGGCAAGTTTTTCCTTACTGCTAATCCATCCAAAAGTCGTCTGTAAATGATCGCTTTATACTAATAAGTCTGGTCATTGTACAATTAAATTTCTTAAATAACTTCAAAGTTATGGTAAATGACGTAATCACTCGTAAATTATTAGTCCTATCACAAAAGTAGAGCCAATTACATAGTCCTTGCTTGCCTTTCTCTGTCCCTGTATCCCTATGTATAGTTTAATATTTAAAACTTCGCAACGGTTCTTTTAAATTAAAGATGAAATTTTAAATGTATAATAACATCGAATAAAAAGTAATAGACATTTTTGGTCAGCATTGCGTCCGTACGAAACCGGGACAGGTCGCTAGTAATATATGTTATATAATACTTTGCTTTATGCGGTGTTTGAATTCGCGACCTTGACCTTTCTCAAAGCGTCTACGATAAATTCTATATTTACAACAACCGGCTACGCACCGACCGTTAACAGTTTATATCATAATGCGTCCAATTTATGGTGCTACTTATCCAATAAATTCTGTGAAAACAAAATAAATACAATTCTAATGAATTCACTTGAACCTGAACCATTAGACTGTATCATTGCTAATAATATTATGCAATAATTGATGGTACACTTTTATATCTAAATGCTAACTATAAATAGTGTTATTGAACTTGAAACCTTATAAATTATCTTCAGTGTAGCGCTGACAGTTGTAGGCACCGGTTCGTTACTGATTTATCCACACAATGAGAAATTTTATCTTCATAATTCTGTGTCTCAGTTTATTTGCAAGTCACGATGAAGCAGCAAAAATTTTAGCAGTATTTCCGATACCTTCAATCAGCCATCAAGTGGTGTTTCGTCCTTTAACACATGAACTAGCAAAAAGAGGTCATGAGGTCACTGTCATCACAACAGATCCTGCTTTCCCAAAAGGAAAAGCGCCAGGAAATTTAACAGAAATCGATGTACATGACATTTCCTATGAATTATGGAACAGAATATTCATGGCTTCAACTAAAGGGAATAAGGATGATGTGATCATGGTCATGAGTGCTATAACGGATGCGTTAACTGCTATAGTAGACGCTCAGCTCAAAGATGATAAAGTGCAAAATCTACTTCGTGATAAAAGCAAACATTTTGATCTATTATTTTTGGAAGCTTGTGTGAGACCTGCTTTAGTATATTCTTATATTTACAAAGCACCAGTGATTCAAATAAGTTCTTTGGGAGCGGCTTTGGATAATTATGCTAACGTTGGCGCATCGGTCCATCCGTTCCTGTATCCAGCAGTGACTAGACAAAGACTGCATAATCTGACTCTGGTTGAAAAAATCAAGGAACTGTATTACGATTTTATGATCGACAAAGTGTATTTCAACAGTATGGTTAAAGAAAATGAAATGCTTAACACACATTTTAAAAATATTCCTCCAGTGGCTGAATTGAATAATAATGTGGACATGCTGTTCCTGAATGTGCATCCAGTGTTTGAAGGGATTCGACCAGTGCCTCCATCTGTGGTGTATATGGGAGGTTTGCATCAGAAACCTAATAAGCCATTGCCAGAGGTAAGCGACGTTATTTTTTTAACTTAACAGCAAATTAGGAACGTTATAATAAAACAAAAAATCTATGAAGTAGCAATGAAAAATGTAGGAAAAGTGACCTGTGTTGAAAAATGAAGTAAGTACTTATAATTCTTTATTAAATGTAGACTTTATTATATAATATGAACTCAAAGTTATATATGTTATCAACAGAAATTAGGGCACTATAGCGATCGCCAACGCACGAGTAGATAAAAAACTGATCTGTATCGGTCTATTTTTATGGAACAATATCACTCACTGAATTAGTGACACGTTTATAGTATAGTAAATATTTTCAAATAAAAAGTTAATACTTTTTCTTATAAATTCCAGGAACTCAAATCTTATCTAGATGCATCTAAGAATGGAGTGATATACATAAGCTTTGGTACAAACGTGGATCCCACTAAATTCGCAGCTGACAGGATTGAAGTTCTCGTGAAAACATTATCTCAGATGCCTTACGATATTCTATGGAAATGGAACGATGATGTTCTGCCTGGACGCACTGATAATATTAGGATAGCAAAATGGCTGCCTCAGCAATACCTTCTACGTAAGTATCAACAACTTTTTTATAATATAGGACGGCTAACGAGCAAGCGGATTGCCTGATTGCTAACACCAAAGTAGTTACGAGTGCGTTGATGGGGGTGGTGGGCGCGATTGGGTCTCCGGTAACCACACTCACACGGTGAAACACAACGGTGTGGTTACTTCACGCCGGTTTTCTGTGTGGCCGTGGTAGCATTCCGGTCGAGCTGACCCATTCATGCCGAAGCTTGGCTCTCCCACACTCAACTGTTTACATGGCTTTTTCACGTCATTTCAATCTACTGCCTTCAAATTTCTCACTCTTTGGTTTATTGTTCTTAATGATTCCTTTTTCAAACTGGCTATCAACTTTAAAATGTGTTTTCATATTATTTTTATCTCATCTGTTCAGTTATCAGGATCTCACATCATGAAGGTCTTACTTAATCAAACGACACATACAGTGAGATTATTTAATAAAAAATGAGTAACTGTGTTTTTAAATAATATGTATGTCAGTAGTTTGGGAAGGAGTATGTATTCGTTTTATTTATTCATCATTGTTTATGTTAGCTTTTATCTGTCCTAATAACGTATGTATACGTAGGGCGGGCTATCAAATGAAAATAATTAGTTCTCATATGTGAAATACCATGACCTTAAAAACATAATGAACATTTTTACGTTCTTTAAAAACAGGAAGAGGAAGATTTAAGTTTTCAACAAACGTAAATTTTTAATCACTGCTCGATTAAAGATTAATTCATTAAGTTTTTAGACTTCGAAAAACCATATTTCATTTAAATCGGTTCAATATGATTTTACCTTGAATGATTTTTTGAAAAATCTCCTTTTTTTAATAATAATACACATCGTCAAGAACACTAAAATAAATGATGACGATATACGATATGAATGATAATACTACAACAGATATATTCAATAAATTCAGAAGATAATTCTATTGATTATTATTTTTACAGAACATCCAAAACTGAAGCTGTTCATCACGCAAGCTGGGTTGCAGTCAACAGATGAAGCTATATCAGCTGGTGTACCTCTAATTGCCATCCCTATGTTTGGTGACCAATGGTACAATGCAGAGAAATATGAATACTTCAAAATCGGCAAAAAATTGTTCATGGAGAGGTTGACTGTGGAAGAATTTAAAAATGCTATTAATACTGTCATTAATGATGAAAGGTAAGATTCATATTTTTGATTATTAATTGATAATTACTGTCGTCAGACATACAAAATTTATTGAAAGTAACGACTTAGTTACTCGAATGAACTTAAAAAACGGTGACAGCTACGCCAACGTTGCTGATGAATAAGAATCCCGTTGCGAGTTGAAACTAGTAGAGCTTTTTTCAGTGCATTCCGTAAATCTTTACTTTTATTTTTGATGTTCCAAATGTTAGCATTCAGAAAAGTCTCCCGGAGACAATCTGTTTAGAATATTTTTTCCAATACTACATTAGTCTAGATTAAGTAATAGGTAAACAAGCTGACGGATTTTCTGACGGTTAGCAATCGATAACGCCCATGGACATTCGTAATACCAAAGGAGTATTTTCTGGTCTATAAGGTATTCAAGATTTTGGGATTGGGGGATTGCAGATGGAAGATGAGGATTACTAAAGAACTACTTATTCTCTACTAATACAATACCTGTCTAATGAGTTACTTATGTATTTCCAGCTACCGAAAGAACATTGTTAAACTACGCAGCGTGATGCGTGATGAAATCGAGACTCCACTAGAGCGCGCCGTTTGGTGGACGGAACACGTGCTGCGTCACGGCGGCGCGAGACATCTGCGAGGACCTGCAGCCAACATGTCGTGGGCAGAGTACCTCGAACTAGAATTAGTGTTTACCTTACTATTAGGACTGTTAGCAGTAATTTCAGTATTATTTGTAATTCTTAGATTTTTGTACAAAATAATGTTTGCATCTACTATCACTGTTAAAAAGTCTAAACGTAGTTGATTGAAATAATTATTGTGATATTTTTTTATTTTCTTGTAAATATCTAGTATATTTTTTTTATAAATAGGTAAATATTATTTGAGTCAATTCGACATTGTAATTTATTTCACTAATAAAGTAAATAAATTAAGTTAAATATTAAAGAAAACTATGGCGAATTAACGCTTGCGCTGTGTTTAATTGGCGATTGAGGTTACCGGAGACCCGATTCTTTTCCTTGCTATACCCAATCACTAAGCCCCCAATCCTCGAATCCCTATCCGACAATAGGCGACAACGCACTTGGAGTTTCTTTTCCATGTTGCGATCAGGATCAGAACTGGGAATCCATCTGCTTAATAACTTAATATAAGATTTAGCTCAATGAGTAAAAGCAACTTGAAGTTATGACCTATCCGAATATCTGTCATGTATTCATCATATTTATTAAATATTTTTGTTTATTCATTACTAGCACCCCTGTTTTCAAAGAGTATTTGACTACTTCGCTTACGTTGAATTGATAACCGCGTCCTGATTTTTCCTTCTACTCTTCTAAAATTTTCATCAATAAGACATTAACAAAGAATGAGCAAAAGCGGTTCAGCCATTCTCGAGATGTTTGCTTAGCAACACATTTAGTGATTTACTTTTATGACATAGATACCAAATAAATAAAGCAGATAATTTTATAATCTAAAACATGAGTAGTAGTTATGATAACAATATTTTGTAAAGATTTTTTTCAATTTAATAAAAGTAATTTATGAATTTTCAAATTTTCTTTTTCAAGAGAAACATTTAAAGATTTATTTAAAGTCTCGATTTGTTTTTAATAATTAATTTCAGCATCAACAAAAAAGAAATTATCATCATTTTCGAAATTTTATTTAACCGACCAACGAAAGGTATAACGCAACTCATGCTTTAATAAAAACTAACGTGCACATATGAGGTGTTATCAGATTGCGAGTGTCAATTTTATCTGCTAGATAAATATTCGTATTATGGCAAATATTTTTAACATTCAAATCTCAACTTCAATTATTTCATAATAATTGACAATATTCTCCCTTATATTATAGAATGTTTTGTACTAAATTGATCAGTTCAATTCAAGCGTATCAACAGTTCACGCGTGTTAAAAGAATACAAATAAAATGTTATTCTTCATTATTTTAATCACATTGTTCTCATTAGTTTTAAATCAAAGTGAATCTGCTCGAATAATAGCAATTTTTCCCGTACCGTCGATAAGTCATCAAGTAGTGTTTCGACCAATAACAGAAGAATTAGCCAGAAGAGGACATGAAGTCACAGTTATAACGACAGATCCTGCCTTCCCAAAGGGAAGAACTCCAGCAAATCTAACAGAAATCGACGTCCATGACATTTCCTACGATTTATGGAAAAGTGTATTCATAGAACCAGCACAAGGGAAGATGGATGACGTGGTTCTAACCTTAAAACTAATTTACGATGCCATAGCTGCAATTGTAGATGCTCAATTTCAAGACGAAAATGTTCAAAAAATAATCAAGGACAAGAATAAAAAATTCGATCTCCTGCTTACTGAAGCTATAGTGAGACCCACTTTAGTATTTTCTCATATATACAAAATACCAGTAATACAAATTAGTTCCTTTGGTGGCGCTTTAGATAACTATGAGAATATAGGAGCTCCCGTACATCCTATACTTTATCCAGCCCTTACTAGGCAGCGTCTTCATAATCTAACTCTTGTCGAAAAAGTCACGGAAATATACAATGACTTTCAACTAAAAATGGTATATAGAAATCTTGAGGAAGTTGAAAATCAAATACTCAGAAAGCATTTTGGAGACGATGTTCCACCAGTAACAGAATTAAACAATAATGTGGATATGCTGTTTCTAAATATAAATCCAATATTTGAAGGGATCCGACCGGTGCCTCCATCTGTAGTGTATATGGGTGGACTGCATCAAAAACCTAATAAAGAATTGCCTGCGGTAAGTTTATAAGGACTTATTCAAACTTTAAGTCATCAATTAAGTTTTATAAATGGAACCAAATCAATCATTTTTTTAGAGAGTCGTGCTATCGCGCTTTAGATAATTTTAGCTATTTTTTTATTTTCAGGAACTAAAATCATATCTTGAGTCTTCTAAAAATGGAGTAATTTACGTGAGTTTTGGTACTAACGTAGATCCCACGCAATTCCCAGCTGATAGAATTGAGGTTCTAGTAAAAACATTATCTCAATTGCCTTACGATATTCTTTGGAAATGGAACGCAGATGTTCTACCTGGACGTACGGATAACATTAAGATTGCAAAATGGCTGCCACAATCAGACCTGTTAAGTAAGCTCTTTTTTATGATTTTGATAATACAGAAATAACCAAAGCATTCTAAAGAGAGTAAAAAGAAAATCCCCAACGAGTATACTATAAAGTTGACTTATATTTGATTGATTGTTCTACGAAGAATCTTAATTTCAAACCCATTTTTTTCTACAGAACATCCCAAAATAAAGCTCTTTATAAATCAGGCTGGTCTTCAGTCGACAGACGAAGCCATTTCAGCAGGAGTACCTCTGATAGCCTTCCCAATGTTTGGAGACCAATCGTACAATGCAGAGAGATATGAATTTCTCAGAATCGGAAAGAAATTGGATTTAAAGACACTTACAGTGCAACATTTTACGAATACCATCAAGACTGTTATTGGGGATGGAAGGTAAGACGATAATTCGATTAAAGTTATCTATTGTAAAAGCTTTAATACTTGACCTGGGTCAAGTAAAAGAATTTATCAAGACAATTTCTGGAATATAACAAAAAGTCTCTGAATACTTACTACTACTACTACCGAACAGCCGTACGGCTGTAGAAATAAGAAGTGCAAGTCGATGACCCAATGGTTTTTTTTTAAACACGGTATGTGTTTTTATTGTAGTAGAACGTCAAAACTGTAATTATTTATTTATATAATTTTATTTTATGTCTTTTAGCTATCGTCAGAATATAGAGAAGCTGCGCAATGTAATGTTTGATCAGCCTCAATCGCCACTGGAACGTGCAATATGGTGGACGGAACACGTGCTGCGTCACGGCGGTGCGAGACATCTGCGAGGACCTGCAGCCAACATGTCGTGGACAGAGTACCTCGAACTAGAATTAGTGTTCATTCTATTATTAGCGCTATTGGCAACCATTGCAGTTTTATTTGTATTTTTCAGATCTTTGTATAGACTCATTATAGTAAATACTAAACCTGATAAAAAATTAAAGCGGAGTTGAGAAAGGAATTGTAAAAAATTACAAATTGTTTTGATAAATTTTGTGTTCTTACTCTGATGGTAAATAATTAAGTGAATAATTCGATAAGGTGTGGGAGAGCCATGCTTTGACACGAATGGGTCGGCTCGACCGAAAGTGATACCACGGCCTCACAGAAAACTGGCATTAAACAACACTAACGTTTTGTTATAACGTTGCGTGAGGTTACCGGAGGCCCAATACTTCTTCCTCCCATTCTCAATCCTCAAATCCCCTATCTTTAAATCCCTTATAACCCACAAGAGTCCGACAACGTATTTGTAGTAACTCCTTTGGTATTGCGAGTGTCTATGGAATATGAAAATCTACGTACATTAATTAAATGGATTTCTAAACAAATTTAGATATTAGGGTAAGTAGTCAAAATATTTACTTTTATCTTATAAATAAACAATACAACTTTATCAATGATTGATAAATGATACTTGTTTATTTATGGCAAGTGACTTGTCTTTCTATCAATGATCACTAGTGTAACATTCATAAAAATATCCGCATAACTACAGTTACTAGTGTGAAGACCAAAAAGGCAGACTTGTTCTTTCTTTTTCAACTAGTCTGAGTGACTGATAAATATCAAGAAGATTTTGGTAAATAACATGATGGTTATTCGGAACTAATATTGCTCGGAAGCCAGTTTCCTTGCAACCTTACTCACCTAGCAGACATGTATAATTATTTGATCATAAAAAAAAACTGACAACAGCAATCAGGACAAATCTGAGCAGACGTGCGCATTTCGAATAGCCATTAGACCACCATAGGCTGGACCTATAAGGGCAAAAGCCCAGCATGGTTTGCAGTTAACGCACAATAACACATCGTGGCCCAGCTTCGAGCAGAAGTTGGAAAGTCCCTCGCCACACCGGAGAAAATATTCGATGATATTCTCCTTTCACGAAAAATCACACACGATAAAGGAGAACCTCTTAGTTTGGAGTGACGTTTCATACAATCAGCAAACTCCTCTAGCAAAGACTAAGTGTGAATATAATATGAACACTCAAATGATGATACGGAACATGTGTCTTATAAGTGGACTATTTGATACGGTGACTGGCAGTATTTTAATGTACAGCAATTCATTGTTTATCAACATGACCGGTAATAGACATAATGTGACGATAGCAAATCATCACACTCATTTGCTATAACAAGCTCCGCACTTGTGACTTTGTTTGTATATTTTTGTATGGTACCTTTAGTGAGGCTATACATTTTATTGAAAACTAGCTTTTGCTCGCGACTCCGTTTGCGTGGAATAGTGACTTTATGCAGATTTTTTAGTAAAAAAACTACCCTAAGTCCTTTCTTGAGTTCCAAACTATGTATGTACCAAACTTCACAGAAATCGGTTCAGTAGTTTAGCCGTGAAGAAGTACAGACAGTCAGACAGACAATGTTACTTTCGCATTTACAATATTAGTTTGGATAACGATTTACCCAGTCGACTGTGTCTCGGGTGTGCGGCATCTAAATATAATATTTTTTATTTTAGGGCTACCTTTCCGATTGGACGGAAGCATATTAAACATGAAAGAAGATGCCAGTTTTTTTAAAGAAACGTTTAGGCCTGCGGTAATATCCAAGGAAGGGTTGGATTTAACCACAGCAATTGTTTAATTCTACCAAGTAGACTAATTCGCACCGAAGCATGATTCTCCTACTAAATTGGTGTATATATTGTTTCCTCCTTATAATATGGGAAGAATAAGCACAAAAACATTGGTTGCAAGCAATCTTTAAAATGTGCTGTATTTGGCTGCCTATCGTGTTAATATTTCAATGTTATATTATCTGAGCAAATAGTTATGCCTTTAGTCAAAATAATATATAGTATCGAAGTATGATCTTCGCAATCCAATTTATTTTATTTTATTCTCTGAAATTTTGTTTTAAAACTTTTCCGCCTCGCCTTTGTTGAGAACAAATATAAAATAGCTAACCTTAAAGAATGTAGTGGCACTAGAAAAGGCTCAAAATTTGAAATTTTTAACATTCTACTTATATAATGACTTCTATGCTATCATTGCAAGTCATGTTTTCTTCAAATTATGTGATAATAATTATTCACAGCTAACCATAAATAAGAATGTTCACGATGAACGACTTATTACATTCGTCATTATCTACTGAGTGTGCACGTGTCAAAATGTCACATTTCCTCATAGTTCTAATTACGAGTTGTGTTTTATTTTCAAATGAAAGTGAATCTGCAAGAATATTAGCTGTATTTCCAATCGCTTCTATCAGTCATCAAGTCGTGTTTCGTCCCATCACTCAAGAACTTGCTAAAAGAGGTCATGAAGTAACAGTTATTACACCCGATCCCGCCTTCCCAAAAGGACAGACACCTCAAAATTTAACAGAAATTGATGTTCATGACATAACCTACGATATTTGGAAGGAAAAGTTTATGACAGCTCCGAAGGGGAATAAAAACGACCTGTATCAACATATTCAAATTTATCTGGATTCAATATTATTAATGTTTGATGCTCAACTCAAAGATGAGAATGTAAGAAATGTTATTGAGGATAAAAACAAACAATTTGATTTGGTATTGCTAGAAGCTGCAGTGAGACCTGGTTTAATATTTTCCCACATTTACAACGCGCCAGTGATTATGATAAGTTCGTATGGTGCTAGTTTCGACAATTTTGAAATAGTTGGTGCGCCAATTCATCCATTGCTCTACCCAATAGGCATTCGTCAAAGACTTAATAATCTATCTATATGGGAGAAAATCACTGAACTATATCTTCACTATAAATCAGATGAAATGGCTTCAAGTAATTATGCTTTAGAAAATGATTTCCTTAGAAAACGTTTTGGTCCTGATATACCAAAGATTGAGGAACTAAACAATAATGTCCAAATGATTTTTCTGAATATTCATCCAATATTTGAGGGGATTCGTCCAGTGCCACCAGCAGTGTTGTTATTGGGTGGGTGGTATTGTTTATGGGTGGGCTACATCAGAAACCAGAAAAAGAACTACCGAAAGTAAGTCAGTATTTTATTAAAAAGTTTTTCTTCAGGTAGGATGTTGTGTTTTTAAGGGATATTCGGCAAACGAGCAGACTGATTACCTGCTGGTAAGCAATCGGCGCCGTGTTTTGAGGATAGGGGGTTTCGGTTATTAAAAGATTAAGAAGGCATAGAAAGGGGGGGAGGAATTGGACCTCTGGGAACCTCACTCACATATTAAAACAACGCTGTGCTTGTTTCACGCCGGTATTTTGTGAGGCCTTGGTATCACTCCGATGCTTGCTGCAAAATCTAATAAATTTACTTTTGTTGCAATTAGTTCTTGATGCTGAGTTTAGTCAGTTTTTGAGTTTGCAAATTTTAAAAAAGGCATAGACATGTTATTCCTTATTCCCTTTCCCTTAGTCCCTTATAAAGGCAACTAAAACTTATTTTGTGTATTATTTTCTTTCCAGGATCTTAAACACTATTTAGACTCGTCTAAAAATGGTGTGATATACCTCAGTTTTGGCACAAATGTTGATCCTAAATTATTGCCACCATATTTTATACAAACTCTCATTAATGCATTATCGAAACTGCCTTATGATGTACTTTGGAAATGGAATGAAGATGAACTCCCTGGACGGACTGAAAACATCAAAATTTCTAAATGGTTGCCACAGTCTGATTTGCTGAGTAAGTAGCTGTGTAATTTACTTCAATTGTTCATCACAATATGAGAATTTATTAATAAAATTAAAGTTTATTTAAGTAAAAAAGAAAATTCGAAGTGATCTAAAATGTTGAAAGTCAAAATAAATACCAGCATTTAGTTAAGTATGCAGGTTACTAAAGCTGTATGAGTTCTTTTATTCAAACTACTTGATAATAAAGACGTTTTCTTGCAGGACATCCTAAAATCAAATTATTTATAACTCAAGGAGGTCTACAATCAACAGATGAAGCTATAACAGCTGGGGTACCTCTAATAGGTATTCCAATGTTAGGACATCAATGGTTTAACGTAGAGCGATACGTTCACCACAAAATTGGACTAGGTCTTGATATGGAAACCCTTACAGAAGACGATTTGACTAATGCTATTAAAATTATCATTCACGATGATAGGTAAGAATGCAATTTTACAAACTTTTGTGCCATGTGGTAGAAAGTTTATATTTACATAAAATTGTTTATTAAAATTACTTACCATATTCCATGAACATCGTTTTTATTATCTATCTCTTTTATAGCATGTAGCTACTGTTTTTTGTGTTGTTGCTTCGAAAAAGTGATCAACCTTATTTGAATTTTTTGTTTGGCCAATTTCTTCAGGTATCTGTTTATCTTGACCATAAAACGCAGTAATATACAACCCTTCATTCTTTTTAAATCCTTTTTGTTTATATTTTCTTCTTCTTTATTTACAGTTATCGTCAGAATATTATTAAGCTGCGCAGTGTGATGTACGACCAGCCTCAACCTCCACTGGAGCGCGCAATATGGTGGACAGAGTACGTGCTGCGTCACGGCGGCGCGAGACATCTGCGAGGACCTGCAGCCAACATGTCGTGGGCAGAGTACCTCGAACTAGAATTAGTGTTTACCTTACTATTTACTTTATTAGTTGTAATAACAATATCAACTGTATGTTTGCGTTATATATTTATCAAATTGTTTGGAATAATTTATGAATATGGTAAATTGAAACAAAGTTGATTTTCCATTTTTCCAAGTCATTTGTTTGTGCTTTGATATACTCGTTGATTTTGTGTTATCTTCAGTGACTCAATAATTTGAGGTTGTGAATGATGTGAATAAAATTTTGTATTTATTATAGGTTTATTATGTATCAGTTTATTTTTGCTTTGGAGGATGCATAAGCGATGGATGTAAGGAGCAAGAGCTGAACAAAGTCTGATATTAGGGATAAAATAATAATAATAAAAATATTTTTTTATTCTTTTTTGGTTTTTATCTTCTCGCAA